CCGGAGACTTTGGGGCACTTCCCCTTGGCTCTGCTGGGTCAGCCCCACCCCCCCAACCCCTCACCCTTGGCAGGAGGAGCTGATCACACCGGCAATCTCCTCCTCTGGCTGTTTGACTTAGGTTTGGATCCTCATCACTGGATTCCCTTCTCCCCCTCCCCCCCCTCCTCCTCTACCTCTCCCCCTTCTCCTTATCCTCTCCCTGCCTTCACCCCTCCCTCCCCCCCCCCCCCCCGCCTCCTCCTGTCCCTCTGATAGCAGGGCTGGACGGTGAAGCACTCAGCCCCTCCCAAAGCTTTCCTATAGCGGGCTGGGGGCAGAACTTTTAGCTGACTGGGCTTTCCATCAGCAGCTCTGCTTGGTCTGACCTGTTCAGCACACTCCCCTGAGCAGGGCCCCCTAGTGCCCCCACCTCCAATCTTCTTTTCGTGTGCTGCCTTCCCCCATTAGACAGTAAGTTACATGAGGGCAGGGGCTATCTTTGTTTTTCTTCTTTGTATCCTCAGTGCCTGACACTGGGTGCTTAATAAATATTTATTCAATTGAATTATCTCAGTGATAGAACATGTGATAAAGAAGATTTGCACAGGTTATGAAACTTGGAGGGACAACAGTTAGGATCCCTCCTAAAAAAATCTCAAAAAGCTGGAACCAATTAAAAGAGGATGAATGTGATATTTTAGACTTAGGTTCAACAAGTCAACTTCCCAAGACTGGGCAGTCTGGTTAAACAACTATTCCTACGAAAAGGAGTTGGTTGCAGATTTCAAGTTCAGTCTAAGTCGACATCTTGGCCAATAAAGCCAATGCTAACCTCATGTGCACTGAGGGACATAACATCCGGTGTCCTTCCCTGACCAGATCACAGCTAGAGAACTGAGCTCAGTGCACCACATTTTAACGTCCACATAGATGAGTGAGTGGGCACCCAGAATAGTAACAGGACCAGAGACCATGTCACACACATACAATGGAAGAGACTGGTCAGTGAGGGCCCAGTCCTTAGATCATAAACAATGCACTCTGCCTAGTTAACAAGCTACACGGAGGCTTGATAAAACTGCTTCTGGAATGGCATTATGAAGGGATCCCCCACCCCACTGCTCTGTCTCTTGTTGGCTTATAGCTGGTGACCAAAAGCCTTGTAATTGGCTGGTGCGGCCGTAACTGAGTCTCTTCTCTCTCTTTCTCTCTCTTTTTTCTCTCTCTCTCAATCTCTGTCTCTTTCTCCTTTCTCTGTCTCTCTCAATCTCTCTCTCTCTCTCTCTCTCTCTCTCTCTCTCTCTCTCTCTCTCACACACACACACACACACATACTTATTGTGGTATATGATGGACAGTTCCAGAGGAACCTGGGAAGGCCCCTGTGAATTAATGCAGAGTGAAGCAAGCTGAACAAGGACATCGTTCTCTACAATTATAACATTATACAGAAAAACAATCTGAAAGACTTTAGAACTACAATCAATGCAGTGATAAACTATAAATTCAAAGGAATGAAAACAAAACACTTCACTCACCTTCTGACAGAAGGGTGATGAACTTAAAATGCAGAGACATACATTTTTCAGACATGGTTTATTTACTTTGCCAGACTATGCAGATATGTATTGAGGGCTTTATTTTTCAGGGTTTTAAAAATTTTGCTCAATGTGGGTGTAGATGGGGTAGTGGGAGGGACAGATCAATTTTTCCAAATGCTTAATTGAAAAACATTTTTAAATTTGTGTCCAGTATCCCCCGGGAGGGGACAGTGTGCTCCCAGCTTAAGATACTACTATTCTTTGGTTCTTGCTTTACCTTTTTAGTAACTATCCCTTTGTAAAAGTTAATTGATGTTGACTGGTCTGTTGATATTAGGGAAAGGCGAACACACAGATGGGGGCTCATAAACAGTAGTAACATTCCTATGTGTCAGGTTTCCCCTGGAAACCCGTAGGGGAGATGTAGTAGCATCGCTCGGCATACCCAAGATGTCAGTCCTAGAGTGGGACGGGAAACTGAGCCACAGATTCTATGGGCCACACGCTGCTAAAGGAACTAGTGACATTTTGCGTGGATAAGAAAAGATTCCTGTGGGGGGGGTGGAGATAGTTGTTTTCGAGTATTTGAAAGACTGTCATGTAGAAGATGGGATAGACTCATTCTGCCCGACCCCCCGGAGGCAGAACTAGAAACCAGGGTGGACACAGGGACAGATGTAAGTGTGATGGTGGGAAATTTTCCCAGCAATGAAAGTTGTCCCTGAATGGAATGGGCTTCCTTAAGAGGTGGTGGGCTCCCCCACCTCAGAGGTCTTCAAGAAGTCAGAGGGCCATTTGGTGGAAAGATTGTGGAGCTTTGCATTCAAGCAATAATAGCTAATAATCGTAGCTAACATTTATATAGCGCTTACTATGTGCCAGGCACTGTGCCTTATGGTACTTTACTATTATTATTTCATGTGATCCTCACAACAACCCTGGGAGGTAGGCGCTATTACTACCCCCATTTTGCAGGTGAGGAAACTGAGGTAAACACGAATTAAATGACTTGCCCAGGATCTTACAGTCAGTAAATATCTAAAGTCAGATTATAGGTTAAATTAAATGGTTTCTGCAGTTCCTCTCTATTCTCAGATTCTTTGACTTCACATTTATTCTTATTAAACTATCATGCATTTTATCATGTCACGTGGAGTGTTAGAACTATTTGCTGAAATCACAGGTCTCTGATGTTGATTATAACAACAAAATCTGTCATATGCATAAAACTCCTTAGAGAGTGTCACAACAATATGGAAAATGAGGAGGTTGGATGGGATAACTTTCAAAGTCCTTCTTGATTCTAAATCTATGGCCCTACGAATCCTTCCTTGTAGCCTACCTGGTTGTAGGACGGGAAAAGAAAATGGACTTGTGATTTCCCTGATACAGAAAACTCCAGGGATCAGCTAGTGCCTTCCTCTACAACTCAAGAGTCTTAGACAGTTGCCCAGGGCAGGGGTCTCCAAAAGGGGTCTGTGGCTTGACGCCAAATGGGTTTGTGATCAACCAATCAGAGCATAGGAAGATGGCTCCACCTTGTCTCCAACACAACCACTCCCGTTTCCTACCTGGTGATAGTATGTGGGGGTAGGGGTAGACAAAGGCCCCTCAGAGCTTAACCCAACCCCAAGTCTTCAGCTACACAGACACGATTCCTTGACCTCCCCCTTTCTCCCTCTGCACACCTCAGTGTTCCCACATCCTGGCCTCCCATCTGTTCTGGGGCAGTGACTGGTGAGTAAATGCTCACACTTTTCATTTGGGGTGGGGAGGAGGAGTCGTGATGGGTGAGGAGGCATGGATGGGTTGCATTTCCACCCCTCCCCCAAACTCCCCATTTCCATTGAGGACATCACCATCCCTTCCATTCTCTCAGCTTTACAACCTCCAAACGACACGTGACTCCTCACTCACCGGAAACTACTCTTTTCAAAGTTATCAGTGTAAAATCTGGTGACCTTCTCTCCATTCTTTTTCTTCTTAACCTCTCTGTAGCGTTTGACGTTGTTGATCGCTCTTCCCTCCCGGATGCTTCCTTTGTTTTCTCTTGATCGTCATGACACGGCTCTCACCTGGTCCCCCTACCTCACTGTTCCTGCCTATCATACCTCCTACCCGTAGGTGTCCTCCAAGACTGTCCTAGGCCCTCTTCTCTCTATACTCTCTCACCTGGTGACTTCACCAGCTCCCATGGGTTTAATTATTTCTATTCAAATTACTCCCAGATCTGTGTCCTACCCTGATTTCTCTTCTGGCTCTGGTCCCACATCACCAAACGCCTGTTGGACATTTCAAATTGAACATCTTCTAAGCAACTCGAAGTCAGCAAGTGCAAAGTAGAATCTTCCCCCCTGCCCCCTGCCCCCCACCAAACCTACTCACCCCTTCCCAACTTTTCTATTATTGTTTAGGGCCCCCCCCCCCCCATTCACCTGGGGTCCCAACACCACTGTCATCTTAGGATCATTCCACATATCTAAGCAGTCACCATATCTTGTCATCTCTTGCCCATCTTTCCTCTTCTCTGCTCACAGAGATGTGTCCTTAGATCAGGCACTCCTTACCTATTGTAATAGCTTCTTTCTCCGTGTATAGATCTGTAGAGATAAAGATGGATGGAGATAGACAAATGGATAGAGACATATGCAGACATATATACACACCTAGCTTTATAAGGGAGTGACATGGTCAGACCTATGCCTTTAGGAAAATCACTTCGGCATTAATATGGAAAAGGGACTGACAAGAAGCTAATCGACAGGGACACCAGTTAGGAGGCTGGCTATCTGGCACTGCCCCCCCCCCCCCCCCCCCCCCCCCCCTCCCCCCCCCTTTCTATGGCTGTGAAGAAACTGAGGCTCAGAGAGGCAGTGACTTGTCCATGGTCACACAGCCAATAAAGGTCTGAAGTGGGATTTGAGGTGCCTCCCCATGCTGCTTTGCTCTTGTTGGCATCCCATCCCCCTCCAAGACAGTGAGCTATGTTTGTGAAGGCAAGCCCCAGGCTTTATCCAACCTTTGCATCATCCTCAATGCCCTGAAGGATGCTCTGCACTTGGGAGGAAATGAGTGGGGGTGGCTATTCTGTTATAACCCCTAAAATTCAGCCCAGCATTCTAAGCTATTGAAAGAAGAAATGCCCATTGCCGAGGACTGAACCACAGGAGACCCTCAAGGTTGGGGACAAGAGAAGTTGCAGATAGCATCTGAGGCGGCTGACACAGGAGCAGAGCTAGAATACTGGCATCTCAGAAGCCAATGGAAGCTTAAGGAAGTGGGAAGGGAAGTACTTATTAAGCACCTACTATGTTCCTGGTACTGTGCTCTTTCCAGAACTCATTTGATCGTAAAGTGATCCATATCAAAGAGGTCAAAGAGAAGGAAGATGGAAAAATTTCAATTTAGGAAAAAGGAAGCCTCTGGGGACTTTGGAGTGAGCAGGGGGGTCCCTCAGAGCAGCAGGAAGACCAGTGATGAGGAAAGTGTTCAACTCAACATTTATTAAGCACCAACCGTGTGCAGAGCATGGTACTAGGTTCCGTGGGAGATACAAAATTTAGATAAGACACAATCTCTGCCCTCATGGGGCTTACAGTCTAGTAGGAATTGATGGAGTAGAGAGGGAGCAGCAAAGTCCACTCCCTTGAAAGGTTTGACCAGGAATGGAAGGTCAATGCTGGGACCAAAGTAACTATCACACTCCTAGGGCATCCTGTCTGGGGCAAGCAGGGTCAGGAAAAGGATGTGCCCCTGCTGAAATCACAGGAGGAATTCTGAGGGGGCAAAGCTCATCACTAAACCCCGGAGCCATCCGCTGCGGCAGGATGCTTCACCAGCAGCCATCCATGCCGACCACGTCAGCTTGGGCTCTCCTCACCCCTGTCTCTCCCACCTTAGCCTTCCCTACTCATCCCCCTGCCTCTGAGAATCTGCCAGGGCCTCTAGAGCAGGGCAGGCGAGCTCCCACGGTCCAGGTACTACCTTCTCTCTTATCTTTCCAATTCCTCCTGCCCATCCCACTCCCCTCCCCAAGGCAGCAGCTGCAGTCTTAGTGGTCATGTCAGAAAAGTCTCCTGTGAGGAAGGAAGCTGTAGTTAGTAATGCAAAACCTCTCCACTTGGGTTAATCACAGGAAGGAGCTCACAGTGTCATCCAGTCTGTCCCCACCCCCACCCCAGGATGCTCCCCACCCAAGGCAGCCAGCTCCCGGGGGGGAACTGAACCCCACTGCTGAGGGTGAGGATGGGCCAGGCTCAGGAGACACAGAGCACAAGGGCACAAAGTGTAGTGGGGACAGCATGAGGCTCTCATGCCAACGTCACCGGTTCCTTCCTAGGCTGGTGGTGGGATGGGCACTCTTTCAGGGCTCAAGGCTGGCTTTCACAGCGGCCGCTCCTGGTCAGGACACGGCCCCTAGAAGTGGTGTCTGGGGCTTCGGACCCCTCAGTGGTAAGGCCAGGGGCCCTGGGGAGGACGTACCTCCCCAATCAGTTTCTATTCAATGGGGAACGGCACGTTCCCCTCCCTGACGTGATCTCCCTGTAGACAGGGCAATGAAGTCAAATATTCATCACAGGATTGGTGCAAGTTGGGGGTGGGGGGGGCAGGGCACGGCTGGGAAAGAGTCCTGTGGGGACCTATCCTGGGGGGGGGGGGGTCTTATTGCTTTCGTCCCAGTCTGGCCCCAGACAGGGCTAAAGCCGAGGTGCAGATAGATAAAAGGCGGGATGCTTAGTCACCATCATCTGTTCCTGGAGCTAAAGTCCACAGAGGCGAGAGGCCCAGGCTCCCCAAAGCCCTCACACTGCCTCAACCTTGGGGCAGCCAGGCTACATCTTCCTGTTTGACCAAGAGTGATGGTTCCCTGACCTCGGCTGGAGATTCTGGGCTGGCAAGGTGCCCGCCACCTTTCCCACCCACCCCTGTGACCCTCTGCATTGACATCTCCTCCCGGCTCCCCTCCTCAATCTGCCTTTGCTGGCTTCATATCTCACCTGGTGGGGTGGGGGTGAGGGAAGGTTGAGGGGTCCCCTCTCTGGTCAGCTGACCATCTCTGCCTTCTGGCAGTCTCTCCATGGGCCTAGCCCCAACATACAAAGCCCACCCCCGACCCTGGCTTGTAAGTTGTCCCCCAAGGAGAGTCAGGAATGAAGGAAAGGGAGACAGGAATTTGGGCTCCAGGGGGTCACTGGGAACGGAGGGTCATGTCTAGAAAAAGGCTCATCCTACGCCTCCTCGGGTAGACGTAAGGCACAGTGTGGTGGTCGTCAGGGTCAAGGAGGAGAGGGGAGGAGACAGTAAGAAACCAAGCCTGAAGGCTGCTCCAGGGCATCCCTGCAGGAGCAGCCTGGGGGGGGCAGGGGGGAAGGGAAGGGTTGCTCTCACCTGCTATGCTCCCAAGCCCCATCATAAGACACTCATTAGGCCTGCCTCCCAGGGGGACGGCCCCCTCCTCCAAACTCTCCAAGTGCAAACTCGGGGCAGATCGGGAGGGTCAAGGCTCAAGTGGTCTTGCCCTTTCGCAGGAGACCCTCCTAGCTTTTTACCATCCCAGGAAGTGGTAATGAGGTTGCTTGTTTCCCAAGGGGCAGAGAATCCCTCCCATCCCCTACGCAACCCGGAACCCTGAGGTAAGTGGCCAACTGCCCCTTGACCAAAGCCCATCCCTGGATGGCTGCTGGGCAGACTTCTCAGAGTACCAAGGAGTCTTTTCAGGGAGCCCTGCTCTGAGCTCAGGGAGGGTTTCAGGATGCCCACTGCAGGGCTAAAATTGTAATAGTCCAGGACCCCCTTCCAGAGCCCCATCCAGGATGGGCATGGGAAGGCACATTCAACTTGGTAGCTGGAACCGCCGAGCAATCCCAAACCAAGAGACTACCACTGGGGGCCTGGGGGGCCACCCCAGAACAAGGGGTGAGGCTAGGCAGACACATTGACGTCCCTGAGAGAGATGGCACCATTTGTGGCTTCGGGGGGCTTGTCCTCCAGCAGCAGGGCTGGGGTGTCTGTGGCGATGGCCAGGGTGGGGGTGTCCGTGGGGGCTGGAGAGGCCAGGCCCTGGGCCAGGATCTGCTGGATTGTTTTACGGAGGTTGGGGTGCAGCCGGCCTTGGGTCTGGTAGAAAACCTCCAAGGCGAAGGACTTGAGGGCACCGGTGCAGAGATCCTCATAGAGTGGGATGGTGTACATGCGGGACATCTGCAATACAACAGGCTCAGCTGGATGGCCGTCCCATAGGTAAGGCACAGCCCCGGTCATTCACAGGCAAACTCTGGCAGCTTGGGACGTCTACCTGCAGCCTTTCCCATCTGTCCACTAGAGGGAGCCTTCAGCGGCAAGCCTCCAACCCCTGCAAAGATACCCCCAGTACACAGGCTTGCTAGGACTTTCCTATCCCGGAGACATCAGTTCCCATCTTTGTTGCTCTGGGCTCTCTCCCAGCTCCCAGAGTCTCTGCCGATCCACGTTCTGATGCCCACGCTGGTTCTACCCTTCCCTTCTACGGCCCCTCCCAGCTGGCATTCTCTGTTCTAAGGTCTCTCTTGGGTACCTGGCTCTCCAGGAACCGCCGCACTTTGTAGAGGTCTGGGTAGTAGTCATTGCGGACGACAATTTGGAGCCACCGGATGCGGACCTCGGCATTCATGGAGTCCAGCAGCGAAGAGTAACACTTGGAGAGCCTCATCACCACTTCTGAGGAGGCCAGGCGTACAAGACTCAGTTTAAGAAAAACCCTCCCCAGGGACCCACATCAGGACAGGCTGGACATTCAACGTCTCATTTCTGGTCCCCGGTGACCCTCAGCCAGCAGCGATCGATCGCCTCGGGCCAACGAGGACCCCAGTCATCACCCCTAGCCAGTGCCCACACCCTGAAGGATTGGGGAACCCTCCCACCAGTACACACCACAGAGCAGTGGAGACCTCAATCACCCCAGGCAGGACCCACCGGGGCAGTGGGGACCCTGGCCGCCCCCTGCAGCGCTCACCCTGGGGCAGTGGGGACCCATCCAGAAGTCTATCCAGGAAGAGAACAGTCTGGAACGTTTTCCACTTGGTGATGTCGATGCTGCTGGCTGAAGCAGCTGCCTGGTCCAGAGGCTCTGCCGTCCACAGCCGGAAGAGGGTCTCCACGGGCCTGGTCAGGCTGGAGCCTTGTGATAAATCTGGCTCAGCGAGCGGAGGCCCCGTGGCATTGAGCCAGCGCTCAAACTCCAGCCCTAGAAAGATGAGCAGGCAAGAGAGTAAGGAGACAGGCCCTGTGCAGAGGGCCTAGGCCGTGCCACACACTCCCTGTGACTGATGCCTCGAGAACCACCAAGGGCCCAGCCTTTGGACTGGCGCTGCTGCCAGCCTGCCTGGCATGAGCCCTGCTCTCCACCCCTCAGTCACACAACAGCAGAAAGCCTCCCTTCTTGTTCCCTGAGCCTGGACTCTGGTCCATCAGCACCAGGGACAGCGCCCTTCTGGGAAGGACAGAGCACAAAAACCCAGGTGCCCCACCTGCTTTGCTGTCCACGCTCTGCTCCTTCAGCTCAGGAAAGAAATTCAGGAAAGAATCCAAAAGATCTTGGGCGACGACACTGCTGAACTTGTACTTCTCCACGTAAGCCTGAGAGAGAGAGAGACGGTGGCAGGGCAGTGAAGAAGACTCACCAGGTCTCAGTGGGGCAGGGAAAGGGGGAGACTTGGGCATCCTGAGCACAGAAGGCAGGCCTCAGAACAGGAAGCCATGGAGGGAGCTTGGGGAGGGCGGAGCAGGACACGGAGCAGGACACGCACAGCTCAGGGACACCTGATCTTGGCAGCTGATTGAAGAAATGCCGAGATCTGCAAGGGCCAGCCTGAGGCCCCAGCCAATGACCCGGAGCGGCAACTATACAGCATGAGCTCCAGCCCAGCTCCAAGGGAGGGTTTGCTCTAGGGGTGTCTGAGTGATGACAAATGCCATCTGGGGGAGCGCTGTCCCAATATGGCTAAACCACCTGGCACATTTCCTTCCCTGAGAAAGTGGGTCAGCTCTTGCATCCCAGCTTGGACTCAGTAGAATCCATGGGGTCTCTTCGACAGGCCTCTACAAAGGGAGCTCCAACTTAAAGCCAGAAGGGCCACAGAACACACCACCACAGGGTCCAATTCTCTGGTTTTACAAGGAAGGAAACTGAGGCCCATAAAGATGATTGGACTTGCTCAGGGCCAGAGTTCAGACCCCGCTCCTCAGGCATGGCTCTGCCCACCATACCACATGCTTGGGGCCACTGCCCTTCCCAGAGCTCACCGCCCACAGGGATGGTAGTCACGGCTGGTGGGGAGGCAAGGGGTGGGGAGGGGACGGGGCACTAACTCGAAGGAAGGAGTCAAAGTGCTGGGGGTCTCCACAGAGCTGCGACAGGTAGTAAACAAAGCAGTATCCTTTCTCATAGGTAAACAGGTTCATGAGGTTGCTGGGATTCACCCCTGAAAAGAGAAGAGCAGTCAGCCAAGATGGTGCCCCCTGGGGCTGGGAAGCCCCATCCCTGGCACGCCCTTAGGAGGCGGACGGGGGAGGAACAAAGCTTGCCGTGTCCCAGGCCCCAGCCAGACGTGGGCTGCTGGGGAAACAGAGGAAGGTGGGTGGGCACTGGGGAGTGCCAGGACAGGAGGGCCAGGGGTGGGCGCGGGCGAGGTACCTGGTTCCAGTTTGACCTGCAGCTTGCTGACAGGGTTGTCCTCCCCGAGAAGCTTCATCTGGCGATGGAGGGCATCGAGGCGGAACGCTGTCTCCAGGCATGTGAAGGCAGCGCCTAGCCCAGGGAGGAACGGATGGGAGGTGATACCCCAGGCTGGGAGTGCAGGCAGGGGGAGGGGAGACACAGAAACCAGCCCCAGCGGGGACAGTCCACACTGCTCCATCCGGGCTGGGGAGGATGGAGCAACACGCAGTCATTCATTCACGCGCTCACATAACAAGCATCTGCCAAGTGCCAGGCACAGGGCTGGACACACAGGATAAAAGGGTGGAAAGAAAAAAGGTGTCTCTGCCCTCCAGCAGCTGCCGTGCTATCCGAAGGAGGCGGGAGGATAGCTCGGAGACATATAAAGACAGTAGATACTAGGAGGGGGCCCTAGCACCTGGGGGAATCAAGCCAAGCTTCCTGGAGAAGCAACACTTGGACTGGGAAGGAAGTGAGAGCATCTAAGAGGTGCAGCCCAAGAGGAGGAAGGGTGTGTCAGGCAGGGGGTTCAGCCCATGCAAAGGCACAGAGATGGGACACCTATGGGGAATGACCTATTGGGCCAGAATGTGTGCCGGGGGTATAACGTCCAATAAGCCAGGAAAGACAGGCTGGAGCCAGGCCATCAAGGACTTCAAGGCCAAACAGGAATCCGGCTTTGGCCCCAAAGGCAGCTGGGAGTCACTGAGGTTTCTTGAACAGAGTGACCTGGTCAGACCTGGTCATCAGGAATGCCAATTTGGCAGCTATGTGGAAGGCACTTTGGAGGAGGGTGAGGCTGGTGACAGTCAAAAGCCCCGAGGGAGGGGGCAGCGAGGTGGCGCAGTGGCTAGAGCACCAGCTCTGGAGTCAGCAGGACCTGAGTTCAAATCCGGCCTCAGACACTTGACACTCACTAGCTGTGTGACTCTGGGCAAGTCACTGAACCCTGACTGCCTCACCAAAAAAAAAAAGCCCAAAGATGGCCAACATGGAAAGGTTTTGCATCATTTCACACATATAATTGATCTCATGTTGCTTTCCTTCTCAGTGGGTGTGGGAGAATGTGGAACTCCAAATTTAAAAAGAAAAGAACGTTAAAAAAACAAAACGATAAATTAAAATGTTAATAAAAACCCCAAAGCCCAGGGGCCAGGCTGCTGGAAGGAGGGCCTGCTCTGATTCACCTCCCCCACCATCAGCTCCTGCCCTGTGGGCAGCAAACACTGGCGGGCACATTCAGAGTTAGCGTGAGGAGAAAGGCCTGACTCGGGCCCCTTCTGTGGTCTCTGGGGAAGAGACCAGACCCACATCCATGCCATCTCCTCCCGCCAGTGCCTGGGCAGCCGTACCGTAGGTCTCGGTGGTGATGCGGCGCTGGGCATAGGTGGCCAGCCCCTCACTCAACCACATCTCCTCCCACGTGGCGTTGGTGACCGCATTGCCAAACCAGCTGTGCGCGACTTCGTGGATGATGTCAATGATGAGGAACTCATCACTCTCCAGGATGGAGGAGATGATGAAGGTCAGGCAGGGGTTCTCCATCGCCACGATCGGGAAGGAGGGCGGGAGGAACACAATGTCATACCTGAAAGGAGGAGACGACAGCCTGTGGCAGAAGGAGGGCTCGGCCTCTCGAGCCTGGAAGCTTCCTGGGGCAGGAGGCTAAAAGCCAGGTGGTGCAGCAGGTAGCGCTCCTGGCCTGATGTTCAAATCTGCTTTTGGACTCTTACTATCTGTGTGACCCTGGGCAAGTCACTTAACCTCTCTCTGCCTGTTTCCTCAGCTATAAAATGGGGATACTAACAGCACCGACCTCCTAAGGTTGTCGTGAGGATCAAATTAGATAATACTTATAAAGTGTTTAGCACAGCGCCTGGCACATAGTAGGTGCTATGTAAATGTTAGCTCTTGTTATTATAAGCTCACAGAGCACTGTTCTGTACCTCTCAAAGGCATTCTGGTGCCCTCGTGCTTTCCAGTTTCCAGTTACTACCTGGGCCTGTATCTTGACCTCCCCTCAGACGGTGAGCACTTCAAGTCAGGTACATCTCGCCTTGCCTTGTCTTTCCCCCAAAGCTTTGCACAGGGTTCCACACACAGTAGGTGCCTAATAAACGTTTTGTGACCACGCTGATCCCAAAAAGGGATATGAGAATGCACCACCCCCTCCACTTTGAAGAGGTCGGGGACTCTGGGTGTAGGGCTCGACATAAAATGGTACATTTTGGATGAGTTGTGGAGTTTGGCTTTTCCTTCTTTCAAATTCGGTGTTATAAGGGATAGTTCTCCCAGGGAGTGAGGGAAGAGGGGAAATGGAGGTGATGGAAAAACAAGACATAACAATTAAGATGGATTTTTGTTAAAAAGCTAATTTTTCATTGCATTTGTGTGGCCAGTCTCATTAAGGAAAAGCTGCCACTCTTGGGGTGCACGATGGAAGTGCCCCTCCCCCTTCCATAGTACCCCCCCCCCGCCCCAGCCCCGCTTTGCTCACCTGCCCCACAGGTAGGGCCCATACAGTTTCTCCGCTATGCTCAGCCACTGTTCCACCAGTCCAGACAGTTTGCTTGTGGCCGTCGACAAGAGGCATGGCTCAGCCCATACTCTGCTCCTGCCAGAAAGCAGCCGCAAGATTTGAGGTCACCCGCCCAGACTGATGGAGAGCTGTCTCCCTAGAGGAGCCGAAAGATCACCCAAGAGACTCCTGGGTTCGAATCCTGCCTCGGACCCCAGCTGGCCCTGTGGCCACTGACCTCATGGAGATTCTGTTCCCTTGTGGGCCCAATGATAAAAACACCTGTAGAAGCTTGGCCCCACATACGAGATGACACCTATTCCCTTCCTAGCAGAGGTGGGGAGCTATGGCTGTGAAATGCTGCACAGAAAATGGCAGACTTTGTTTTTCGATGCGTTGGTTAGTTTCATGGAACCACAAGGGACGGGGCTTTCTGGAAGGGGACGATGAGAAAGAAATATGGAGGTGAGTAAAAGCAAAAGGTGACAATAAGTGTTTGAAATGGCCCGTCAACCATCATCTCTCAACGGGGCTGGTGTGTGGCGCTAAGGAAATCTGGCACCTGAAATACATTATGGACCTTTAAGAGGGGAGAGGGGCTGCACCTGGCATGTCCCTGCTACAGAGAACTCCCAGATGGGGAAAGTCCCTCCACCAAGGCAGATCGCCATCTTCTGCAGCCTCAGAGACTTGCTGAGAGCATTGAGAGTTTCAGTAACTTGACCAGGGTCCCATGGCCAGCAGGGATTCCTAGGTGGATTCTCTACCCCTTCCTCCAAGCCCTATGGAACGGAAGCTCCGCCATCTTTCCTGTCTCCCCTTAGGGACTAGTCACTTGGCCTATAGCTAGAACTGGCCCCAGGCCCAGTCACATTCCCCAGGGAGGGTAGCCCGAGAAGGGCAAGAGGGAGAGAGCCCACTAGCCGTCCCAGCCAGCTATTCATTAGGGCCCCTGTGAAAATTGCCCTTTGGTTACTAGGCAAAGCCAACCACCCTCCCCTCTAGGGAAGTGGCTGGCACAGGGTGTGTGATCAGATTGGCTCACTGCCACTTTGGAAATAAAAGAGAACGAGGCCCTTAGGGGACAGGACCTTGCCAGCCTGGACGAATCTCTAGAAGTACAACAGGAAAACTTGAGAATGTTTTGGCACTCGGAGCTAAAGTGGAGAAGGAAAGAAGCTCAACGTGATGGGAGAATCTGGTAGCCCCGGCTGGAAAGCCCCGAGTCGGGTCACGTGGATGTGCCCGGCCTCTCCCTGGCCCGTCCTCTCTGCCCCTCTTTTACCTCTGACTTGATGCACCCCATTTGTAAAAAACAGAAAGGAGATAACGCTGCCCCTCAGAGAGGGGAAACTACCCCCCTCCCAGTGACTGATCACCCAGGGTGCCCGGCTGCCTGTGCCCTGAGGTCACTCCAAAGGCATTTCACCTCCTTCCTGCTCTTCCTTCTTTCCAGGCTTTAGGCCATGCGGGGTCCACTGCCCCACACCCCACCCTTGGTCCCCTGACAACGGCAAAGGGTCTTTGCTCATTAGCCCATGGGATCGGGCACTTAGAGCCTGGAGGGATCTCTGAGGCCATTAGTCTGACTCTCCCATTACAGGAACCTCAAACAAACAATATACAAGTGTTCTGGGGGGCTGGGATAGGCGAGACAAGATGGGGGGGAAGGGAAAGGAGAGGGAAAATCAATTTTTTTCTTCTTAATTCTGTCCATGTAAATATATTCATAAAGACCAAAAAGAGAGGAAATGGGGTGGCAGGAGAAAGGGAGGAATGGGGGAGTGTAGGACCCCTCTACACCCCCCCCAAAATGAAAGAAATGCATTGGAGGCCCACAAGGGTTAGGACTTGCTAAAGATTACATCACTAGTAAGTCTCTGAGCAGAATTCACACTCAGGCTTTGTTTGTTTTTTTCCAGCTCCATGTCCAGAGCTCTCTCCTTCACACCGCCAGAGCTGATGCAAAGAAATGGTGCCCACCATGGCACTGAGGGTTAAAATCCCTTACCTGAATGGCCTTGGGGGAATCACCAGCCTCAGTTTCCTCATCTGTAAAGCCAGTTTGGACCAAATGACCTTGAAGGTTCCTTCCCTCTCTAAATGTCTCGTGAGCTCCCTCAGAGTCCCCGCTCTGCTGTTTACCCCCTGTGGGACCCTGGGCAAGGCATTTTCCCCCACCCCGCCTCAGTTTCCTCCTCTATAAAACGAGGCAATTGGACCAAATGACCTCTGAGGTGCCTCCCCGCTCTTGGTCTTCACGTCTCCCATCCCACAGTCAGGAAGAGTCTCTCACCTGGGCCCGATGTCGGCTGGCACAAGCTCTCCCGCCACCAGCGCCACCAGGTAGGCAGGCACTGGATATTCCATGTGAAACTGGTACACGCCCTCCTTCTCCAGGTAGGCACTTTGGGTGGCGCTCATCAGCACCTGCACCCCGGCGGGAGCCTGGAAGACAAAACCAGGTGACCGTCCAGGGCTGGCCGGAGCAGCTGCTGTCAGCAGGCATCTGGCAAAGCCCCTCTCGGCAGAGACCCCGGAGTCTACCCCACGAGCCCGGGCTGGCCCAGGAAGGATAGAGGGAGGGCTGGAAGGTGCCAATGTCCGTCCTCCCCAACACTGTCCCCTGGTGCAGACATCACAAGGCTGGGGATGGGGAACAAGGGGTGCAGCTGTGTGGGAGGGGAGGAGGCCTCGAGTCAGGGAGTCTTGGGGATCCTATGGTTTTGGGGGGTTAACGAGAACCTTCTGGTCCAGGGAACGGGTGCCACGTCTGGGTCCACGTGGCAGAAAGCAGGGAACTGGCCCCCCAGACCTGGGCTTCTATCCCCGGTGCCCAGGGGAGGAGAGGAGACAGCTGGGCACTGGGCATACAGGCAGATGTCCCAGGAGAAAAGGAATGTCTGTTACAGCAGCCCCAACAATGTGCCAAGGGCTCCCCTTAATGTCCTCCCCTACCTTTTCGGTCTTCTTTCCCATCACACCCCGTTACACAATCTCTGTTCCAGAAAAGCTGAGCTGGCTGCTCCCATCCTCAGCACTACCTCCAGCCTCCGTGACTTTGCCCAGGCTGGGCCCCCTTCCTGAAATGCCCTCCCTCCCCACCTCAGCCCTGAAGAATCCTGCCTTCCCTCAAGTACAGCTCAAGCAGTTCTACCTCCTCCAAGAGAGGGTCTCGACTGGCTCCCAGCTGGTTGTGCTCCTGCCCCCCTGCAATGATGTTGGGGTTCCCTGTGTATACTTTGGGTTTTCTCATCTGGGCCCATGTTAGACCCCAGGGGAACACAAGCTCTTGTGGGCAGGGATTGTGTTCATTTTCGTCTCACAGTGCCTGGCCTACTTTTCGCGTAAGAAATAAGAAAATCTCAGTTTTGCTATTTAACTACCTACGTGACCTTGGGTAAGTCACTTCTCCCTCGGATTCTATAAAGTAGTGGAATTGGATTAGATGACCTCTCAGTCCCTTCTAGAGATGAATAAGATCCTCTAATTCAAGTCACTTCCCTTCTTGGGTCTCAGTTTCCCCAACTGTAAAATGAGGGAGGTGGAGGAGATTGTTGACTGGCAGGCTAAGCGGCCTTCAGCTCCCAGACAGTCCTCCCACACTGACTCACCCTCCTCTCACACAACACGGCCTCAGCGCCTCTCCTGCCAGTGAACGGAAGCCAGCTAGCCCTCCTCCTCTGCTGTTGACCCATCTACTCCCATCGCTCGAGGGAGGGAGGGAGCACAGGCCCAAGGATCTGTCACGAGCCTTGGGCAGATCCATATTTTGGTCAGTGACCACAATGCACTTCTAGAAGGTCACTCATCACATTGCAGGGGTCACGACGAGGGGAGGGATGGCTGGCACCTTGGGCGGCAAGGCGTATAACCGACAGGATCTCGGCAGGACTCAAGAAGACAAAGTACAATCAGGAGAAAAGCAGACGCCCAGACACGGGGCCCAGAAGTCAGCCTCAAAGGGACGGGATCAGGAAAGGTGCCACTGGACCCCTTCTTGGGGGGGAGGGGCAAGTGGACTTCAAGGTTAACACAAGGCAACAGCACGATTTAGAGGCCAAACGAGTTAACGCCGTCGTCGGCTGCTTTGAGAAAAGCATCTGGTGGAGCGTGTGGGGGAGCAGGTCCTGCTGGTCTGGGCCTGGTCAGCTCGCAGCTGGACTGAAGGACGGTGATCGTCCCGGGGCCCTGGGGCACTCGTGATGACCTTCTGTGGTCAGTAAGTGGGTGTATCTTAGAGAAGAGATCATTAACTGGAGGCCGTAAACTTGGTTTTTGTTGCTGGTGTTTTAAATATTTGGATCACTCTACGTTGGTATTGGTTTTAAAATTGGTTTCCTTTGCAATCCTCTGTGTTTTCTTTTATGTATTTAAAAACATGATTCTGCGAGGAGCCCAGAGGCTTGACCAGGCTGCTACCAGAGGGCTCCAGGACACACAGAAAGGTCAGGAAGTCCTGCTGTAGAGAGAGGCAGCTTGGGCACTGGATTCCAAGTCAGGAAGACCCAAGTTCAAATCCTGCCTTAGACACTTACTGGCTGCAAGACTCTGGGCAAGTCACTTAAGCTCGACTTGCCTCAGTGTCTTCATCTGTAAAGAGGGAAGATTTGACTCTGAGGTCCCTTTCAGTTCTAAACTTACAATCTCGTGATCCTACGACCTCTGCTTGACAGACAGTGTATGGTCCAGTGAGGAAAGCACTAGGTAACAAATCAGAGGGTGTGGGTTCGAATCTCAGCTCTGCTACTTACTACTTCAGTGGCCTTGAGAGAGTCACTTTTCCCTCGGATTCTAGCTCCTCCTGTGTAAAATAGTGGAATTGGACTAGATGACCTCTAGGTCCCTCCTAGCTATGGATAAGATCCTCTAATTCAAATCCCTTCCCTTCCCAGGGCCTCAGTTTCCCCAAATGTAAAATGAGGGAGGTGGCCCAGCTCCTATCTCCACCTCATTCTCCCCTTGCCCCCACCTCCTCGCCCACTCCCTCTTTCCCTCGGTTTTCCTTCTCTTTTCCTCTAGCCTCACCCCCCGCCTTGTTTCCAACCTTGTTTTACCCTGCATTTCCTCCCCAGGCCCCTGCTCTGGAGGCAACTTCTATTTAGGCCTTGAGCAAGGGCCTTGCCTGGCACTTCTTCCCTTGGCCTTCCCCCTGAGGCAAGGACCACCCAGGCCTTGGCCTCAGCCCCTGCCTCCATGGCAGTACCTCCCTATGGCTCTTGGCTACTTCCCACCCTTGACTCTATCTAGACCCCATTCTTGACCTCCCAGTCGGTCCCATCAAGATCCTTCCTAGGCCCCTCCCACAGTCTTTCTGCATATATGGTCCCTCTTGCCTCCATTAAGGTGCTCAGATTCTTACAATCTAGCCAATGGCTCACAGATGCTCAGATTCCTTAAGCGTCTGGCTAATATGGCGGATCTTTAATAAACCTTGTCTCTGGCTGAAAAAAAAATGAGGGAGGTGAAGGACATTATTTCCAAATCTGGGATCCCACCATCCAGGTCATCTTCCTCCTCCGTTAAAATGATGGGTTTGGACCAGATGACCAACCGAGGCCCATGCAGATCTAGGCCTAGGAGCCCAGGAGACCGAATGAGCTATAGGCACATCCACAGGAAAGAGCAGGGTGGTTCTCACCTTCTGGATGTGGCCCAGGTAATCGGCCAAGCAGCCCCCGGCCACCCTACTGGGAGGGGGCAGGACTCACCTTGACGGTGGCAGAGTAAGTACACTTCACCGCGGGCGTGTCGAAACAGGGGAAGAAGGAGCGGTTGCACACAGAGTGGCCTTGGGTGAAGACAAATGGCTTGGAATTACTGTAGGTCAGTTCGGGATCCAGCCACCAGATCTAGGGGACGACAGAAGGGAGAAGGACAAGGTCAGAGTCTGCCCCAAAAGGCAGCCCCTCAGAGCATCTGCTAAAGGCCCACCTTGGCCTGGGGCTGGGTCACAGTGGAGGGTACAACCTGGGCAGTACGGCAGGCTGTGCCAGATCAGGCTCAAATCCACCCCGGCCATTTAACTAACACCCCTGTGACCTTGGGTAAGCCCCGTGACTTCAGTTTCCTCATCCATAAAATGAAGGGGTTGGACCAGATGGCGTGAGGTCCCTTCTGCCTCTTGATCTGGGACACTGTGTCCTGTGGATAGTGTAGGTCATGTCACCTCACCCAACCTCAGGTTCCCCCTCAATAAAATGGAGACAACACCTCTTCCCTCATGGGATTACGGCTTTGGTCAGTTCTAGAGAGCTGGATAAATATAAGCAGCAGAGGGCTGGCCTTGGCATCACCAGCCCAACACCGTGTGGCCCTGGCCAAGTCACAACTCTCTTGGGACACGCAGAAGAGGTGCCAACCTGCGCTGGGGGAGGGAGTTCCCTACACAGATGAAGTCATCGGTCAGGCCCGCCGCACAACCCCCAGGCCCCATGATGACACATCACTTTTCCAACCTCGTGAGTGCTCATCTTGGAGGCGGAGCCCAAGCTCAAGGGCCAGAACTGACCGACCATTTCCAGCTGTGCGGCCCCTACCAATCACTCTAGCCTCACTTTCCTCATCTTTAAAACGAGAGTGAAAACTCTCACATTCCCTATTTCCCAAAGGATGTTTAAGAAGAAGGTGCTTGGTAACCCAGAGGGAGCCCGGAGACAGAGATGTGGGCCCCTCCTAAGAGCAGGGGAGGAGGGCAGGACAGGGTAAAGGCCTCCCTATGAGACTGGGCAGGCAGAGGAACTAAGGACAGAAGGCCCATGCAGGTACAGGAGAGGGCAGGAGAAGGGAAAGGCTGAGCTTTCCACTGTGGGCCGGTTCATTCGGCATCCTCAACAGGGCATCCTCTTCAGGCTTCCCTCATCATCAGATCTTATGGTCCTGGGGCCCCTGGGGCCATTCCTACAGGCTGGCTTTTAATTCCTTCCTTCTGGCCCTCCCAAGTACTTTCAGACCATCTGGCTTCCCATACAGGGGGACCCAGCCCTCCCTACAGAAAGAAGATGCTTGAGAAATGTGGACCGACAGGTTTGTCAGAAATCCCACTTCACAGGTGAGAAGCCTGAGGCACAAGGAGGCTTTGTGGTGGGAAAAAACATTAGTAGATGAGGGAGGCCGGACCAGGATCCAAGTCTCCTACACATCACAGACTGCCTGCATGGGGCCCTGTGCCAGGCACCTCGAGAATTAGACGAAGAATGCTCCCTCCCACACATGCCAGTGATGTGCAGTGGATTTGGAGTTAAAGGACCCTGTCCCTCCCTCCCTGGGTTACCTTGGCCAAGTCATGTGACTTCTGAGTCTCAGTTTCTTCATCTTTAAAATGGGGAGAGTGAACTAAGATACTTCAAAGGTTCCTTCCAACTCTAAGCCTTGAATCCCAAGAACTTAAGGCAGCCAGATGTAGACCAAACTAAAACTACCCAGCCACGCTGGTGAGGCTCATGATTGCCACTGTGGCTCTGCCAGCCTCAGGGTGTCCCCAGTCATCTCAAGGGTTACCAAGAACTTCCCCCAAATCATCCGTTAAATTGGTTTCAATCTACAAACATTTATTTATCAATAAAACCATAGATTAAGTTGGCTTCACTTCAATCAATCAATAAAGATCTACCATGTGCCAAGCACTGTGCTAATCAGTGGTGGATACAAAAGAAGGCAAAAGACAGCCCCTGTCCTCGAGGAGCTTACAATCTAATGGGGGTGACGATGTGTAAACAAATCTATACAAAACAACCTACATACAAGATATGGAGGAAGTATTTAAGAGGGAAAACACTAGAATTAATGGGGATCTGGAGAAGTAAAAGATTGGATTTTAGCTGGTACTTAAAGAAAGGCAAGGGGGCCAGTCATCAGGAGCAGAGGACAGAGAGCATTCCACGCGTGAGGGATCATCTTGGGAAATGTCCAGGGCCAAAAGATAGAGGGTCTTGTTTGTGGACCAGCCAGGAGGCCAGAGAACACTGGAGAATGCGTTGGGGAGTAAGGCCTAAGAAGAATGCACAGGGTCCTAGGAGGCAGGAGGTTGTGAAGGGCTTTGAATGCTAAGCAGAGAATTTTATATCTAATCCTAGAAGTGGCAAGGAGCCACTGGGGTTTATTAGGTGACATGGTCAGACTTGAGCTTTAGGAAAATCACTTTAGGGCCGAATGGAGGATGGACCGGAGCGAGGAGAGACTGGGCACAGGCAGACACACCACCCCCAGCAGCTATTGCAATAGTCCAGGCATGAGGTGATGAGGGTCTGCCCAAGAGGGGCGGCCATTGGAGAGGTGAAATGGACAAGAGACGTCCCAAGGTTAAATTGACAGATCGTGGCACCATACTGGATACGAGGCGTGAGAAAGAGTGAGGAGTTCAGGATGACTGCTAGGTAGGGAGTCTGAGGGACTGGGAGGATGGCGGTGCCCTCTACATTAACAGGGATGGCAGAGAGGGAAAGATAATAAGTTCCGTTTTGGACGTGCTTAGCTTAAGACGTCTACTGGACATCCCGTTTGAGATGTCTGAAAGGCAGCTGGAGATGTGAGATTGTAAGTCAGCAGAGAGATTGCCAATGGTTTATCTTAAGGAAATAAGGAGAGAGAGAGAGAGAGAGAGAGAGAGAGAGAGAGTGTGTGTGTGTGTGTGTGTGTGTGTGTTCCACCAAATGGAATGTGCCAGAAGTAACTTCCCAAAGGCCAGATGGACTTTAGCACACTAGGCCAAGGATGGCTACCATTAGAACTTTGATGTTAAAGGCAAGGATTTGGAGGACACTTAGACAGCCAGGAAACCAGAGACCAGACAGCAGAGGCTGGTACCTACAGGGCAGTGAAACGAGCCTCTAAATTCTTGTTGACTGACTATCAGTTATTTGAACATTACTCTTCCCTCAAGTTCCTAAGAAAGTTATTTAAAAAAAAAAAAGGCAAAACAAAGAAATAACCCTCACTACATCTCAGCTGAATTAAGGCAGAAGTATCCAACAATCCAATTAAGGTCAATTCAACAAGAATTGGTGCCTACCCCTGTACCAGACAATGAAGAAGGCACCCTCCATACACGGAGCTTCCTGATGAGACTACTGGCGGAATACAAAGGACACGTGATGACATAAAAACAAGGCATATGTTTTAAATAAAATCCTAGCAGCGGGGAAAGTGTGCCAATGATCGGCAGGAGAGGAGTCAGCCTTTCCAGGAAGCTCAGGATCAGGGAGGTGGGTGTGAGGAGGGAGTGCAGCCTAGCCCGCTGTCCCCGAGGCAGAGGACGGAAGGGATGCCCCAGCGGCTCCATTTTCCTGGAGCAGAGAGTGTGCAAAAGACCTATGTTCCCGTGCCTGGCTCAGGAGTCCTGGCACATCAGAGGTGTCCTCAAGGTCAAGCTAAGCCTCACAGCAATGAGAAAGTGAAAAAGGAAGCAGGCAACTGGGGTCAGGTGGCAGAAAGTAACCCAGATTTCCAGGGCTATGGCTTCACACGGCGATGGTATAATGTGCAGCCATTTGGACGTGGAGTCGAGAAGACCCGAGTTCAAATACTGCCTTTGACACTTGCTGTGTGACCATGAGCAGGTCATTTCTACCTCTCTGAGCCTCTTTTCCTATCCATAAAAAGTGTATAAAGATGCCCGAAGTGCCTACTTTTCAGGCTTGACTGAGATGACAATCCACCTAACAAGCTTTGCAAACTTTAGAGTGCTGTACACGTGTCTATGATTAGTAGCACTCACACGCGTACCCCTTGCTCTGGAGTCCAAGGATGGAGCTGGGTTCAGATCTCACCTCTGACACTTACTCCCTATCCTCTCTGGCCCTCAGTGTCTGCTCCTCTAAGAGGAGGGGGCCCAGACCCTTTCCAGCTGTACACGTGAGTCCAGCATCGGGGCAGGCCCTCTCCTGCCTGGGTGAGGCAGAGAAGGGGAGCTTAGTGCCAATGAGATCACAGGGAGGGGAAGTGAAGGCAGTTGAGCAGCTGGAATGGGGGAGACAAGGGCCAGAGAAGGCCTGCTAGGTGGCGCAGGGGACAGAGCACTGGCCTGGGCATCAGGAAGTCCTGAGTTCGTATCTTGCCTCAAACATGTACTGGCTATGAGAAACAGACTCAGAGCCAGGTTGTTGGCTTGCTCTCCCAAAGTCATGGGCGCTGGGGGAGCAGGCTCTGCTTACAACTCACACTTCCTAATTCTCAAAGCCCAGGACCTTCACCTGCCTCGACGGTTGAAACCAGGCAAGAAGGAGAAGGGGGAGGCATAATGGGAAAGTGATTCACTGGGGACAGAAGCAGTTGAATCTGAAGGAGAGTCGTGTACAAGGATGGAGTGAGATGGCACAGGCCACACAGTGGGACGGACCCAGGGGGGCCACGAATCAAGATGGAGGATGGCAGCCAGTGGCCACAGAAATGAAATAGGCTCCCACCAAATGTCAGTAGCCCAGGGCAGAGGCCTTTTCACCTGTGTTTATTCCAGCTCTGACCTCTAGTCCTAACTGACAGTAAGCGCTACCAAAGAAAAAAGAAAGAGGGGATTATTAAGAGACATGTACTCTGTCCACTCCCACCCACCAGCCTAGGGTCCCTTTCCTGGAGCAGTAACACATTTCCTGTTTGGTTAACTCAAAGATCTTTGGAAGTGCAATGAAACCTTCTCAAATGCCCATGTACACCCTAGGACCAAAGACCTAGAGGAGGAAGGGAATTAGAAGCCCTTAAGTTCATTTTGGGGCCAGCTAGGTGGGTCAGTGAATGGGGAGCTGGGCCTGGAGTTAAGAAGACTCATTTTCCTGAGTTCAAATCCTGCCTCAGATACTTACTAGCTGTGTGACCCTGGGCAAGTCGCTTAACCCTGTTTGCCTCAACTTCCTCATCT